TATCTTCTTTGGTTCTTTCGGTAAAGTCACGTAGAATGAGAATAAAATAATAAAATAAAATAACACAATAAAATTCTCACGACGTTTCGGCCACAATGCTGTCCTCTGGACAGTCCAGTCCCTTCACCTGACGAAGGCCACTTGTGTTGTGGCCGAAACGTCGTGAAAATTTAATTGTGTTATTTTATTCTCATTCTACGTGACTTTACCAAAAGAACCAAAGAAGAAAAAACATACTCTGATATTATATGCATTGTCTTTGAAATTGATTGGTCCACACCAGAGACAGCTTCATTTTGAGCCTAGTCTCAGAACGGTGTGAGACCATTAACCACAATATTTGATTCCTTGTAAAAGGTTTCAGTTTGGTGTTCTAACATCTTAACACCTATTTGTTGCCAGAAATAAGTTTGTAGTTTCTTCCTTTTAAAATTTCTAACCCCAAGACCCGGGGGTGGATCTCGGGTGGTGCCAGGCTGGGTTTGTAAGGCGACCGTACTTTTGCACGAGAGATCGGTGGGGGGAGGGGGGGACACAACTTTGCGAGAATGTGTTTGTGCTTTCAGCCGATCAGACCCCTGCCCCACGCCCCACATTTGGACCCCGGAAGCCCCCCCCCCACCACCACCACCAGCAGTCAGCCCACAGTTGCGGAATCGTGGGAAGGGCGACACATGAAATGCACCATCCTTCTTGAAATGTGTTTTATGTTTATTAACATGTATGCCACGTAAGTAATCGCCGTATAATGCCTTATGATCCCATTGTAATTTCCCAGGCACCACTTCTACGCCCTTGGAACAGTTTGAAGCCAAAGCGAACTGTACACACCTTATGAAAAAATAAGAATAGGTTGACCCCTTTCTGACAATACAACAGGTGTTAAAATGTTCAAACACCAAATGGAAACCTTTATCAAGGAATCAAGATCGCATTAACCACATGTACTTGTGATGAACATGCAACCAAACATGCTCTGATAATTATAATTACATTATAATCTAAGCATTGTCTTTGAAACTGATTGATACTGGCAAGAAGGTTCCCATTTTGTACACACCTTCACAGTCAAATCATTGTGAGCATCGTGCGGTCATTTTTTGGCACTTTCCCTTGATGTCATTTTTACCGATTTCGTTTTAATCAATGGAGAGACCATTTATTTATTCTTCAAGAATTCAAGAACGTAAAAAAGTGTTAAGGTGCCAGATCTTGGCGGTAGGGTGGTTGAAGGAGCGTATTTTTTGGAATGGCCTCTGCTGTCTACATGGCTGTCTTCTATTTTGGTAATGAGATAAAGAGATTAACATGCATGGCACTCGCTGGAAAACACAATGCAGAGCATCCAACATTTGCGATTACGGTCTTTACCGCTAAATGCCGGATGCCACGCGTATCCTTAAACTTGCGACACGCAGCGAAACACTGTGCAGCAGTTCAGGCACGTAACATTTCACACCTCCGTCATTCATTCGTCACAATTTGGATTTATAATTTGATTCAGCGATTGATTTTTTTTTACTTACCCATGCGTAGCATTTATAGGAGAAGAAAAAATGGCAAGTATCATGAGCATAAGGATTAATTTGAACACCCAGTCCGAACCCGATCTTCTTTCCAAATGATTGGTAGTAGTGCACAAGTACATTAAGCCAACAAAAAAAAATCAACACATTACTCAATTACTCTGTGGTATTAAAGAGACAAATATATAATGAGTGATGTCTTGGGCAATGGCCCTCCTTCATAGCACATAGAGAGGCCAGTATACCAGTTAGCTCTCAACCTTTGTTGGCTACTCTACCCACCTTGCTGAATTTTGTTTCAACCGAGCAACCCCCTTTGCCTGACCCAACACGGTTCTGATAAATACATGTATGAATAATGAACGTCAATATTTTAACCCAATTGTCCATTCTGTGAGGTATCCTCACTAGCTAAGTAACTGCAAGCGAATAAAAAATATATATCGGCATGCGTGACGTAATTTGTTCTCGCTCGCTGGTTACTCTTGGAAACCGCATTGTTTATGATCAATGAGTTTCGAAAGGTATTTTATATCGTTCTAGGTTACCACATGGATTAAAATTATATCGTAGTTATTTTACATAGGCATATTGGTGCATTATTATTCACCAATGACTATCATTTATGATATAATTTTACACATTTATAAATCATTTCACGTACTCCCTGGGACATTGCCACGTTACCCCCAGTGGTCCTCGTACCTCCGGTTGAAAACCACTGCAGTAACCAATCAGAGTGGACACTGCACTTTTGAGCATGTGGCCTGATGAGAATAAACATTTTCTTGTATGTTTTCTTCTTTCATGTCACTTCCTACAGTGAGGGAAAAAAGTATTTGATCCCCTGCTGATTTTGTACGTTTGCCCACTGACAAAGAAATGATCAGTCTATAATTTTAATGGTAGGTTTATTTGAACAGTGAGAGACAGAATAACAACAAAAAATCCTGAAAAACGCATGTCAAAAATGTTATAAATTGATTTGCATTTTAAGGAGTATTTGACCCCCTCTCAATCAGAAAGATTTCTGGTTCCCAGATGTCTTTTATATAGGTAACGAGCTGAGATTAGGAGCACACTCTTAAAGGGAGTGCTCCTAATCTCAGCTTGTAAACCTGTATAAAAGACACCTGTCCAGAGAAGCAATCAATCAATCAGATTCCAAACTCTCCACCATAGCCAAGACCAAAGAGCTCTCCAAGGATGTCAGGGGTAAGATTGTAGACCTGCACAAGGCTGGAATGGGCTACAACACCATTGCCAAGCAGCTTGGTGAGAAGGTGACAACAGTTGGTGCGATTATTCGCAAATGGAAGAAACACAAAAGAACTGTCAATCTCCCTCGGCCTGGGGCTCCATGCAAGGTCTCACCTTGTGGAGTTGCAATGATCAGGAGGAATCAGCCCAGAACTACACGTGAGGATCTTGTCAATGATCTCAAGGCAGCTGGGACCATAGTCACCAAGAAAACAATTGGTAACACACTACGCCGTGAAGGACTGAAATCCTGCAGCGCTCGCAAGGTCCCCCTGCTCAAGACAGCACATATACATGCCCGTCTGAAGTTTGCCAATGAACATCTGAATGATTCAGAGGACGACTGGGTGAAAGTGTTGTGGTCAGATGAGACTAAAATGGAGCTCTTTGGCATCAACTCAACTCGCCGTGTTTGGAGGAGGAGGAATGCTGCCTATGACTCCAAGAACACCATCCCCACCGTTAAACATGGAGGTGGAAACATTATGCTTTGGGGTGTTTTTCTGCAAAGGGGACAGGATAACTTCACCGCATCAAAGGGGCGATGGACGGGGCCATGTACCGTCAAATCTTGGGTGAGAACCTCCTTCCCTCAGCCAGGGCATTGAAAATGGGTCGTGGATGGGTAGTCCAGCATGACAATGACCCAAAACACACGGCCAAGGCAACAAAGGAGTGGCTCAAGAAGAAGCACATTAAGGTCCTGGAGTGGCCTAGCCAGTCTCCAGACCTTAATCCCATCGAAAATCTGTGGAGGGAGCTGAAGGTTCGAGTTGCCAAACGTCAACCTCGAAACCTTAATGACTTGGAGAATATCTGCAAAGAGGAGTGGGACAAAATCTATCCTGAGATGTGTGCAAACCTGGTGGCCAACTACAAGAAACGTCTGACCTCTGTGATTGCCAACAAGGGTTTTGGCACCAAGTACCAAGTCATGTTTTGCAGAGGGGTCAAATTCTTATTTCCCTCATTAAAATGCAAATCAATTCATAACATTTTTGACGTGCTCTTTTCTGGATTTTGTTGTTGTTATCCTGTCTCTCACCGTTCAAATAAACCTACCATTAAAATTATAGACTGATCATTTATTTGTCAGTGGGCAAACGTACAAAATCAGCAGGGGACCAAATACTTTTTTTCCCTCACTGTTTTGCCGGTTTAACAAATTGTCTTCACCCGGCTAGCTTTTTTTTACCTTTCCACAGTGAGTTCTCATTGGCGAGATACCTTCTGCCCCTCTCACCCATATGCATTATTACAACGGCGTCCAGCACATTTCTGCCGCGCGAATTAGACCCATTGTCCTCATCATGGGGCCCGTTGTCCAACTCAAACGCTGGTTGTTATTACCAGCTATGGCGGACATGAATCCTGCTCTCAGTCACTGTTAAGCACCTTCTTCATTGAGAAGTGGATCTCTGTTGTGCCTGTTGCGGTCTATTAATACAATCCGTCTTTTGGCCCAGGCATGTGCGACGTCAAAGGGCTGGTGGCGACATAGGGAATTGCTTATCCTCTTCCTAGACAATGCTGGGGGAGAGTGATGTTCATTTCGGTTTTTGTGTACGCACTTTAATGTGTTTTCGTCTAAATTCTGCCATCGCACGTGTAGGAATTCCTACCGTTTCTGAGAGATGTTTACGCTTGAGTGAACATTAGGGTATGATATCCACATTTAAATGTGCCAATGCCACATCAAGGGTGGTCAGAATATATCCGGTCAGCTCCTGGAATCAATAATTTGTATGAAGTCATCCACCCCAGTTTAGCATCTCATGCTCAATCATTTCACCAACATGACAATTGCACCCATAGATACATTAAGAGTAAAACCCAATGGTTCAGCCTAACAGTCGATTTTGTATTAATGTACACTGACAGTGTTTTGCCATTTTATACCCCCTTTCAAAGAAGAAAAAAATATATAGTTTAGGTTATTTTCATAATTAACGTTCAATCTTCTATGCAGTTACATATCATTAATGTGCATAGTATTTACAGAGTGTAAATTCCTTGTAATTGGAGTAACACGTTTTAATTCCTATTTTAATGATGCACAATGTAAAAAATACGATAAATGGGCATGGAAAAAGCAATTTTATTATTTGGCTGCACATTTAGGTAAGAAGCCAATTTTTATACACTGTGAACAAGAAAATGCAAAGCAATACACCATTCATCTCAGCTCACCTGAGTGCATCACTCAAAACATACCTTAAGATGCACCTTCCGTGATGCCGACAGCTTTGGTTTCTGTTGCACAAAATACAGAATGGTTAATACCAATTCTATATATTTTTTCATTATTAAATTGACAAACATAATTACAATACCAAGCATGCACATTCTCCACGTTTTCTCACAGATGCGGTGAATCATTTGCAAGCGGGATATGAAGCTGTAACACGCATTAGTTTCAGTTTCATTTATAAGGTATAGCCCTGCGAGCCATGCGGCTCTTGACTCGAGTGCAACCGCAACAAACAAAAACATGAACAAGAAACATCTTAAAGTGACGACGTGCAACAGAAACATCCAGGAAAAACCAGCAAGTTCTTCCAGAAAAAAGCACCGTATATCAACGCTGTGTGCAAAAATCCCAGTGGGATGCAAGTCGAACAATAACAACCATAAGACAATTTAGATTAAAGTTACTCGGCTAACTTCGTGCTTCAACAAACAAACATGGCTAATCTTCTTTGGTTCTTTCGGTAAAGTCACGTAGAATGAGAATAAAATAATAAATTGATAAAATAAAATAACACAATAATATTCTCACGACGTTTCGGCCACAACACAAGCGGCCTTCATCAGGTGAAGGGAGCGAGACTGTCTGGTAGGACAGCGCTGGAGATCACTCCAGCGCTGGAGATCACTCCAGCGCTGTCCTACCAGACAGTCTCGCTCCCTTCACCTGATGAAGGCCGCTTGTGTTGTGGCCGAAACGTCGTGAGAATATTATTGTGTTATTTTATTTTATCAATTTATTATTTTATTCTCATTCTACGTGACTTTACCGAAAGAACCAAAGAAGATTAGCCATGTTTGTTTGTTGAAGCACGAAGTTAGATGAATCATTGCAGTCACGAAAGCTTTAAATCGAAACATGGCTAAACCAAAACGTTTTCGAATTCACCAAATAAAGCGATAAAACAATGTAACAGTGATCATAGGAACTGTGATTCAAATTTAACAATATCGATATACGTAACATGTACGACCCATCTTTGCAGCCATAGCTGGCAGCATGAGTCGCTCCATAACAGCAGGAGTATCAGCAGGAGTGTCAAAAAATTTCAATGCACCTTTAAAGATCAGCGCACTATAATCAAAACTCAAGGTCATACTTTGCAGGGGATATCCGGAGAGATGCATTTGATTTTAGGCCACTCTGCATAGCAGTGGCAGCGGGGGGTGTACAGCTCCTCAAGAGCAGTTTTGAATGCAGATCTCACAGGTAATGATCCAAGTTGCGGTTTTATTGGCGATAGCATTTCAGACCGTGGGGGCATCAACAGCAAAGGACCTTCCTCCAGTATTTGTACGGCAATAGGGAATGTGAAGCTGGTAAATGAGCAAGGACCATATGTCAGCAGGTAGTCTGCTGATTTTTGTGTAAGTACATCGTGAATAAATAAGATCTGATGCACAAGCCGTCAATCATTAAGAGATGTTAAGTTTGACCCAATGTAGAGATCGCAGTAGTGGGTCCTATATGGGCAGTTCAATGTAAATCTTAAGGCCGAGTGATAAATTGGGTCAAGCTTCTTCAGTACAGTACTGGGGCTGATTTATATACGATGTCACAGTAATCAAGTAGAGGAAGTATGGTTGCTTTTATCAATTCCAAAAGGAACATAGGGGGGAAGCAATGCTTGTGTCGATACAGAAAACCAATTTTTTTATTTTGTCTTTTTTCCAATGTAATCAATGTGATCGTTAAAAAAAGTATTGAATCGAATATGACCCAAAGATACTTATAGATCTTGACTTGCTCTATTTGATAATTATTTAAGGAATGTAATTGGGGAAAAATAGCTTCCTACTTTAGTCCTGGTGAGAAGCACAGCACCTTGGTTTTGGAGGTATTCAGGACTAGTTTAAGAGCAACTAGCTGATGTAGTAGTTTGTTGAAATCACCCTCGAGCTTAGCAATCACGTCATCCGGAGAGCGGCCAGAAGTAATCAGTATCGTGTCATCTGAAAACAGATTTACCCTGGAATGATCCAGGTCAGTGCCCAAGTCATTGACATGAAGAGAAAACAAGAGGTGGCCGAGGATGGAACCTTGTGGAACTCCTTTTGTTATCTTAACACTGTTTGACCTCCAACCATCTATGAAAACAGTTTGGGTGCGAGAAGAAATGGTAATTTTATAACCATTCCACTGCGTGTTTGGAGAAACGGAGGCAACTTAGTTTACTAAGCAGGGTGTTGTGGTCAACTGTATCAAAGGCATTGGACAAGTCAAGAAAAAGACTGGCGCAGTAATGATCATTATTAATGCTACTGTAAATGTGAGTCTGATGCAGCAGATGTGGTGCTGTATTTTTTTCGGAACCCAGATTGGTATCGATGTAAGAGATTATTGTTGGACAGGAAATTGATAATTTGGTCGTTCAATATTTTTTCAAAATTTTTCATCAACGGGAACAAAATTGAGAAAGGTGGGTAGTTATTTGGTTCTTCATTTTTATGGCCCCCTTTGTGAAGTGGATGAACATAGGAATGTTTCCATTCTAGAGGTCTCGATGCTTCTTTGATGGACATGTTGAAAATATGGGCTATAGGTTTGTATATTAGGGGACCAACAGTTAGCAGAGCAAAGACGGGAATACTGTCCGCTCCGGTAGAGGAGGACCTTTTGAGGTAGGACAGTTGTTTCAGAACATTACTTTCGTGGATAGGCTTGAAACTAAATCCGTTTAATGTTTGGACAGAGGTGTAGGAAATTTCATGAGCAGGGATGACTCCCAATACATTATCAAAAAGGTCACTAGCTTCAGAAAAATGAAGGTTAATAATTGTCAACTATTTTTCGGGGCTCTGAAAAATAATCCTTATTTCTGTTAAGCGCAATATGAAGATTATCTGTGTTAAATGCCTTTTCGAAACATTTAACTGTTTTTCGGAAGATCCTGGCATTGCAATGTGATTCCAGGAGAGTGGAGGAAAAGTAAGCATTTTTTGCATGCCGTATTTTTTTACACATATATTCCTTAAAATCCTGTACTCTAGCCAGTCATTGATCAAATTACTTTTCTGAGCACATGCCCAAGCCTTGTCTCTAGTTTTCATGAGCTTAGTAATCAAAGGATCAAACTATGGTGGGCGGTTGCCTTTAATTTGCAATCTAACCAACGGAGCATGTTTGTCAGGAATTCGGAGAAATGGGTACCTGAAGGTCTCTCAAGCCGTAGTCAGGTTGGGGATATCAATGTGCAATCGTAACCGAACTTATAAGTAGGTTTTGTTCCTCTAACAATTGATTGCATAGATGCCTTCCTTTTGGTGCAGATGAGAATGCCGTAGATGGATGGTCATGACTACACGTTACTCTGTGTTGTTGTTTTTTAGTGCACGTGGTCGCATCAGGCTGCCTTGGGTCTGGCCGCAATTTGAGAAGTGGGCATCGAACAGTGCCCTCAGAAAATGCCGAGGTAACTTGTATTTTTTTAAACTCCGTTACATAATTCGCTAGCTATGCAGCTCATAAAAAGCTGTGCAATTGATCAAGCTTGAGTGTTCAACGAGCAATAGCAGGCGCTCATTGTGCTATGTTTTTAGTAATATTGTGTTTTTTGCAAAAATGATCCTCTTTGTCCATGAATTCTGCAATGGCAAAGGGGACTGCAAGGGTCCGGCTCATTCCGTTGTCTTCAGATCCTGAGGATTCACACATTAAGTAAAAAAAAAACACCCTACCAGCGCACCATGTGACGCTTGCATTTCCCTGATGACAATCAATTAAAAAAAACAACAACAAAAGACTCCACCTGTGTTCAGGCAACATCACTGAGACATCCACCACATGGCTCTTGCATACGTTCATGTTCGAAGTGATGTGGGTGCTGAAAAGTTCCTAAAACAGCTTCCAGTCTCCACGTTGGGTGTAAAAACCTACCACGTACTCTGTGTAATAAACCATGCAGCTTGCATAGCTAAGGCCCTTGATACAAAATATCAGTGTGTGTGTGTATATTTAATATCGGAGGCCTGTTTGCCCAACCTCCATGGAGATAATGTCGAAGGAAAATATGGCTTGTGCACAAGCTATAACCATTTATACCAGGACTGAAAGAGAAATGACAGAGACTGTAAAGGTGGGAGGACGCTGAAATATTGATTGGTGGGGTTTGGTTAAGTTATTGGGAGCTGTATAACAATACATCGATGTATTGATTTATACAAATGCTTAACCTCACGATACATACATATAATGCCTGTGGAAAAATCGATTACTTTTGCTGTTTGTGTTGTAATGGGATTCCAGAACTCCTGCTCTCACACTAATGAATCCTAGAATGATCTCACTGTAAACAAAAACAAAATCTTTAATTGAATTGTGATCCTGAATCGTGACAATTCATTGAATCGCCAGGGTTTGTAGGTAAATCTTTAAGTCTCGAGAGGAGAAGTTGGATACTGGATATTAAGAGGGGGGGGGGGGGTGGCTAGAGTTTGGGAGGCTAAATTAGGGTCTGGAGACCTCAACGATGTTAAGATGGAAGACTGTGAGTCTCAATGGGGTAGTCTCGACACACAAAGGAGGAGTCTGGAGGCCTAATGTGGAAGGATTAAGAGGACCTGAGTGGAACGTCTGAAGGACGGGTGAAGAGGCTCCGTGGGCGAGGCAGAGCCGCGGGGAAGGCGTGGGGGAAACTCGCCGAGTGCACTTCACCAGTGTCCAACGGCGAATGAGGTCAATCCGATGCAGTATTTATCCCATCGTTGTTCCCGGTGGCATCATTGCAGTGCCTTTATTCGCGACCACCGGTGGGCTGGAGGAACGGCGGCAGGAGGCTCCTGACACAAGTTACAGCGGGGCTTTTGTTTTCTTTGCAGCGAAATGACTGCACTCCATCATGCAGTGACGCCTTCTGGCGTCATCTGGTCGAGCACCAATTGGGTCGAGGCTCAAAAGAAAGCCGTCCCTTTGGTGTGGACCAATCAGTTTCAAGGACAATGCATATAATATCATAGTTTGTTTTTTTGTTTGCATTTTGACTGCAGGTATTGTGGTTAATGCAGTA